CGGCTATTTATATACCCGGTCCTGACGAGACAACACAAAATCACAAATATTCGGGAGATTGAAGCTTGGGATTGATTAATGAACAGTGCTCGGAATGTAAGGGTCTTTTTGCACATGTAGAGCAGGTAAAAGCATAGCATTCATAATTCATAACATTATTTAAGGGATCTCAGAGAAGAGACTCTCGGCAATTTACAAAACATATCTACGAATTATGGGCAATAAAAGCAGAAATTGCCAAAAAGTACTTGGATATGATGATTAACTTATTTTCAATCTAATCCATACCTATGCTCTACATTACAGATCGAAGCTCAAAACTCTATCTTCTATCTCAAACATAAATTGAGGCTTTTGATTGGTTACATTTCAATATTTAGACAAAATATTAAAGAACAAAATCAATGACTGTGATTGAAACGAGTAGGTAAACCGAATATCCAAGCTAAATAGTATCTAGAGGTTACCTAACTAGAGAGGTAATCATGAATAGACTGACAAACAGATAATCCTGCCAAACTATGTATAATATCCTAAAATTGCACCTACCTACGTAACTATTTACTATAATCTCTCCGTGAAAAAGTTTTGATCTGGAAAAGGGAAATGCCTCACATTCATACGGGTTGCCTGTGTATCATACCAAGACTGGAAAAGAAGATGATAGAGCTATATAAAGAGGAAGAACTTATTTAGGTGATCTCACGGTCTTCTGTCAAATAATAGTCTCACATTATGGACTAGGGTGAGACCTATTATATTGACCAGAGTTATTTTTTTTAAAAAGGTTTGGTATTTGACTAAGGTTTCTCTTCTCAGACCTAAGGATTGATGTCACTACTGAAACAAGTTAGTGGTTGTATCGAAGTTCTTTAGTCTAATTGAATTGGATGACTATTAACTTTTTGGTCCATCGAAACGTCAAATTACTGACTTAAATTCAAAATATGTATCATAATGTACCACCAAAATGATCTCAAACACTAAAGTACATTTTTTATCAAAGAATTCTACACATCGGCCACAAAAGCATAATAACCAAGTCTAATTAAACACGCAATATTCTAGCTATCGTCACTCGAAGGTAACAATGAATGAAAATTCAAATCGGTGGGTAATTAGGCGCCATTATCATTTTACGAGTCTAGCTTGAGTGCATCAGGAAGCTATCAATCAAGGAGGCTAAACTAGTGTTTAAGCATATTTAACTGCTCCCTATGCCTGCCCACACTTATTAAATTATTCATTACTGTTATTCGTAATACGAATAATATGTTTTTTATTGTATGATATAGCTATTTCTTAATTTTAGTAAATCGTTAAATGCCAATGGTCTGTAAATATTATAATTAGAACGAACACAATTAAATAATGACCGTGCCAATGACTTTTGAATGTGAGCACACAAATATAAGAGTTAACGTAACCCAATAAGAAATTGCCAATCATTACTAAGGTACTCAGATGCTGTATGTACTTGTTAACAAGTACATTAGTGACAGGTGGCAATGTTTAACGGTTATGAATATGTTCGGGAGGCACCCACGCGTCGGTATAGACGACGCGACAAATCGTCAAGGTTGACTTCAATGATACGTCGCGCCGGCAGATTTTTCAGTGAAATAGTTTCACCGGGCGGCGGCGGCGGCGGCGGCGGCGGTGACGGCTACGTCTGCGCCGCCGGGTCGATGCCCCGCGGCCGCCACGCGATTTGGCTCGACTCGGCGCAACTACAAATGAACCGACGTTGCCAATACACTCATTTCGCTACTCCTCGCTCCTCTCTCGGACACCTTCACCGGCGGGCCCCTCGGCCGTCTCGACTTACTCGCTTTGTGCACACAGAAAAAGTTTAAAGTCGCCGATGAATGGCGAAAAAACTTGCAACATCTCTAATTTGCCATAGAACGACCGGCGCTATTCAAACGTTTCATAATGAAATAGGCAGAATTAACTCTTGTTGCCAGAAACGAGATCACCATGCCAACGAGGTAAGTAGGCGTGTGACGGCTTATGCCAAACATTCGATGAGACGAGACGTGACAATTCTCTACGGCGTTTTATCTTTAACAAAAAGTAGACGGGATATTTATACTGAAACCTAAAAATATAACAGAACAACGATGAGCAATCTTCCATGTAAAAATAATAGGACAAGTATTTGGATCCAGTTCGATAGCACTTTACACGAGTGCACTCCAATTCCAAATTAAATCTGTATTAATTATTTTATGTCTGACACTTACATAAATTCTTCGAATAAGCGATTGCACGAGCGCAAGATGATAGAATTAAGTGTCGTAATAGAGTGTCGTTTGTTTAAATAGCCCTTTGTTTGGTACAAATCGTAAGTGGAGCATTACGTTCAATATCAATAAATTAAAATGCAGATGGCGCAAACAGTGTGTTATTAATTAATAGGTCGGAGACAGAGGGCCCGGGTCCCGGCCTAGCTTGCGTCCCGCTCCCGCAAGTTATCAATGAAATTCCTGCGCCAGCGCCGCACCAACGGTGCCTCACGTTCCTTCACTGACGTAACAAAATGGCGGACACATAAGTACGTGCTTGCCCTATCTAAGTATTCATAGAACTACGCGTTTTTGGCCCATGGAAATATACTAACGCAATTCCCAGGAAAAACCTAAGTTATATCATGACTACGAAATGAACTCTAAAGCAACAGTATCAGTTACACAATAGTGTTGTGTGAATCGCTAAACGTTATTAGCCCAATCTATTAAGAATTTGAGCTGAGGAATTGCTGCCTAAATGTTATAAGCATAAAAATTTTTATGGCGTAATACTAAATCAATACATTCGGAGTAGTTTCCTGATACGACTTGATGGTATTTTCATGTGGCTATAGACCTCTATTAGTTGTCCACAGTTTTATGACTCCACCTACTAGCTCCCTCTATCGATATATCTTCGGAACCATCTTATCATGAATAGTAAAATACACTAATCCATGACAAACGGTGGTTTGTAAAGTTAATCGGTTTATACAGAGGGCAGCACTGGTGAATGCTTAGAGCGCTGCTGGCTATCGCAACAACTTTGATAAAACTCGGTAGAGTCAAAACTTTTGTTATTCTTGGATAGATGGCGCAGTGTTTATAAGTCATCAGAAAAGGGAAATCAAGAAAAATTTATTCACCACAAGTGGCAACTAAATAAACATGCGTTTATAATGATTTTGCTTATGCTTGTTGGTTTAATATGATAAATTCTAGTCAACTGCTTTCTCTACAGGTGACCGAGGACATATGGCAGCGGATTTATCGGGAACTAAAATCAGTATGCAATCCGTGAATGAAAGATATTTTATCTTATCGATCTGTACAATAAGATCTCAGCAATCTTATATCATTGTTTAAAAATGTTTTCTTTTTATAAAATTATTTCAATTTTGCTTATACGTTTCATAAAATTGCACGTGTTAATCTATTATGCTCTCACTCATTACAACGACCTAAGTCTCTAAATTCCACCATTAAATTAATGAACTAATTCAAATATGGCAGTGGTATATTGAATAGACCTTCTAAAGGTTTTAGAGGAATTTTAAAGTTATCCGACTTCATGCAATAAATATACACCGTGTTACTTTGCATTCTTGCCATATTCACAGAGATAAAAGTAGGGAACAATACCTATTATTTAAGATAAACAAGAGACTCCCATAAAGAAAGTACACTAAGTTTTTAGTAAATTTGGTTTTTCAGTACAAATTGGAATAAACCAATTTTGTCTCGCACGTTTTACAGGTGCAAGTGGAATGAACCTAGTGGGCGTGGCCTAGTTCTTAATTTTATGGCTCTGGGTACCAGCCTTTTTATCCAGTCATAATAATTATTTTAAAATACTCTTCAGTTGATTTCAGATTTTCCTTTCTACTTTACGGGCTTAGGACCGTCAAAAATACGTAATAATTATTAGGGTTTTAATTAATTTATAACATTGTACCAAATTTTTACAAATTAATAAATTAAGTATGAAATGAAATCACCTTATTCACAATTAATTATTTATTTATAAGTTCCTACTTACAAAGTTTACGTACTGCGAAGCAAATTTTCAAAGTGTCCTCCGTTCTGATGAAGGCACAGTCTAGCACGGCGAAGCGTAGGTTTTTCGCTTTAGTTTTCTCAACACTTAAAGGTTTTGTCTCACAGTTTCACTAAAACAATCCTTTCATGTAACGCGTTTACACTGTTTATCTCTTCTGCGCATACCAGTCGTTTCAAGTCACTCCAAAAATCCATTGGTGTCAGGTCCGAGGATCGTGGTGGCCAAGCTACTGGACCCCTCGTCCAATCCACTGTTCACCAAACGTATTATTCGCGCACTTGACGTCCTTATTGTGGGGGAGCACCATCCTGCTGGTAGTAGAGCATTTGGTGTAACGCTAAGGGTACGTCATCAAGCATTTCGTCTAAGACGTCTTGCAGACACTCCAAGCACCATTTTGATTAAATTATTCGTTGTTTGAATACACTTCAGTCATTTTTGTATTATTTATAATGTGATTTGTGATTGATGGATTTCTCAGTTTTTTACAAGTGTCAAAAAGACATTTTAAAGACAATAGATTGCAATAGATATTTAAAAATACAATAAAAAGTTAAAAAGTCTCCATCGCCATCGCCAACAAGTGATGTGCATGCGTTACGATAATTAGTGGTGTGTTTAACAAATTGTCGATAAAATAAAATACTCAAGATTAAAAAAAAATTTTTTCGGGCATTATTTTTTTACTGATTTGTGTTCAGTATCAGTAATATAGTAACCTCTGTAAATATGGCAAGAATGCAAAGTAACACCCTGTATGTAGGAGAATAGGACACTACAGTCGCAATGGCCTCAGTTGAGGTATTATCTAGCACAAAATCAATAAAGCAGTGCCCGCTCCTTTATGTAAACGTCCTAAAAAGCATTTCTGCTTTAATAAACACAGAAAACTAGTACTAAGTACATAAGAGATAAGGTCTACAACATACCTGGCACTGTTGAAGTTAGCGGCATCGTTTTTGGAGGCGGCACCGAAGGAGACGCCCACAGCAAGCCCCTCGGGTATATTGTGGACTGTGATGGCCACAACGAGCAGCATGATCCGCTTCCACTGGGACTGCCGCGCTTCAAGCGCTTTGGCTATGCTGTCCCGATGGTCACCTTCGCCGTTCTCTTTCTGGAAAGTTAGAAGGAAATGTTACATGAAATGCTCCTGATTCCCTGTCTATTGTCCCTTACCACCGTTGTGGTGTATCTGGAAAAAAAGTTGCGATATCCACCTGCCAACGCTGGTCACAGAAGGAGTAAGTTGCTTTAGGGTGTATATCAAATCAAAAAAAATTACCCTCACTGATCGTTTTTTGTGGTTACTACAAAAGCACCATGTTTTTCAGTTTCCTATACAATCTTAAATGAAGGTCGGTCTTTATTTTGAATTGTGTCGGTGATTTTAACAGTTCTACAGGTGTTAGGTAAATGGGTATATGAGCCGACACTAGCCCATGTTCCCATATGCATATAAATGGTATGGTGAAGTCAGAAAATTAATATCATCATTCTAATTATTTTAATTTTCATACAAATCTGATTTTATAAATTTTATTTTGTATGAAAAGAAAAAATAAATAACTAAATGATGATATCAAATTTTTGACTTCATCATACCATTTATATGCATATGTTAACATGGGCTAGTGTCGGCTCATATTCGCTGGGTGCGAAGTACTAGGTGGGGGTAACATAATCTATCGCAGCGCTCATGGTGGTCAAAAGTAGAAATAATGTAAGCTCTGTCATCAGATGTATCTGTCAATGGCAAAGCGATTCTACATAATGCATTTTAATATCATTAATTAATAGCATGAAAAGGGTCCTACTGGGAACTTAAATAAAAGAGTGGACTGTATTTCGATAGGGCTGGTTTAATAGGCGTTTACAATTTGGAAATAACTAGACTATACAACGTGGTAGTACAAAAATGAGTCACAGTAGTTGTTGTGCACAGATGTGTGCCTTATGATGAGAGCGTGAAGTATTGAACTCTGCCCTTGTTTTGTTCTTAATTCTTCTACATCTCGGACTTGTCCAGCCAATACCAACAACTTCCCTTTAAATACGGTTTGTGGTTGGAATTTGATATTATAACACTCACAAACCAGGTCTTCAAAACAATACTCATTTCGATCTGAATACGATATTTAATTTATTACTAGCGATACAGGAACATTTAAATATATTTACTGTTATACAACGTGTCCCAAAATTCAAGGATAAGCCGACGCCACAGGATGGACATAGTCTTGACTACTTTAGGAAAAATAAAGAAAAAAATCTATCTCAATTATTTTTTAACTTGCACAATAAATTATGAAATTCGACGAAAATTGACACCCCTTATGATATTTTACATTACCACGACCACAAATTTTCAAATATTCCTGTTTTTCTGTTTGTATCGGCAACTTAAGTAGTGCTGCTGTCCATCCCAACTCTTAAAACCCCCAGATTCCTTGCAGTGTTTACACAAAAGTTAATCAAAATATGTTATTTCCTTAAAATTTTCAACGATTATTACTTTCACTAAACTTTGACTCATCGTTTTGTAAAAAAAAAGTATGAACACTACTACGGCAAGTTTTTTATAAAGTTGACGCAACTATCCAAGATTCCAAAATGGTATAATACTCTAAGAAACCTAGTCGCAAAAAAGATATGCGTACCATTTTTACAAGCACTTCGCTAGTTAGTTAGTATGGGATAAATCTTGCAACTGAATTTAAAACCAGTTCTCCTTAACCAATTGAGCTGAAATTTGGTATACTTGTGTTCGTACGATGACAATGTAATATTATGGTACCATTGAGCTGGATGGAGTCTGGAGGTGGCCATAGGAACTCTTAACGAAAAGGCGGAATTGCATCTAGTTTGGGTTTTAAAAACAAGCTTTTTTATTACAACTTTATTTTAAACTTTTTAGTTGTTTCTCAATCTCATGGCCCAAGTGCTCGGGAAGACAAATCCAACGAACCCAAACTCGATAAGCTTCCGCTGTTTCGTTTAGGAGTTCCTATGGCCAGCTCCTGCCACCTCTTGACTTCATCATCAGGACCCTGGACATCATCTAGCACTAAAGTGCTCGAAAAGACAAATCCAACGAACCCAAACTAGATGCAATTCCGCCGTTTCGTTTAGAAGTTCCTATGGCCACCTCCAGTCTCCATTCAGCTCAATGGTACCATAATATTGCATTTTCATCGTACTTACATAAGTATACCAAATTTCAGCTCAATCGGTTGAGGAGAACTGGTTTTAAATTCAGTTGCAAGATTTATCCCATACAACTAACAAGCGAAGTGCTTGTAAAAATGGTACGCATATCTTTTTTGCGACTAGGTATCTTAGAGTATTATACCATTTTGGAATCTTGGATAGTTGCGTCAACTTTATAAAAAACTTGCCGCAGTAGTGTTTATACTTTTTTTTTACAATACGATGAGTCAAAGTGGAGTGAAAGTAAAAATCGTTGAAAATTTTAAGGAAATAAGATATTTTGATTAACTTTTGTGTAAAAGCTGCAAGGATTCTGGGGGTTTTAAGAGTTGGGGTGGACAGCAGCACTACTTTAGTTGCCGATACAAACAAAAAAACAGAAATATTTGAAAAATGGTGGTCGTGGTAATGTAAAATATCATAAGGGGTGTCAATTTTCGAAGGATTTCGTAATTTATTGTGTAACTTAAAAAATAATTGAGATAGATTTTTTCCTTATTTTTCCTAAAGTAGTCATGACTATGTCCATCCTGCGGCGCCGGCTTATCCTTGAATTTTGGGACACGTTGTATAATGAAACCGTTAAAGTAGATTTTTCTTTTTGTTTTACTGTAAAACTACAACTATAAATAAAGTAAACAAACCCTTACACAATCAAAATTAAACACACTTTTTGGACTTACCTCATTTGATTTGAATGACCAAAATGATTTCAAAACCTTTTTTCCACCCAAATCGTGGTATCACAACAATCTATTAGTCGAAAATATTTGTTATTTTTCATTTCGATATTTTTTCACAAATATACGACTTAAATGTCAATGTGACAGAGCCCACAAAGTTGTGGACGCTAGTTGGCGCTGTAATCGTGCACAGAGCCAATACCCATTTACCTAACACCCTGTATACATAAGATCGCACATGATTTCGGTCCAGACTCATAAAAAATTGTGGTTTCTCCACATTACAGTTTCCGTTGAGGAAAGTCCAGCACAACTCAATGCCATTCGTCAAAAGGCTATTTGGCAACGGAATTTTCCAATAACAACAAAGAGTCTTACCAACTTGCTTTTGGATGATATGAAATAATAAAATTCGTAATAAATTCACCCATTCTACCACCACAACAACATTTAAATGTGCTGCACGTATAGTAAATACCGACCATAATAATTGCGACCCGCTGAATCTTTGCTCACTGGCGCAATTGCAAAATTTTCCTGCGATTGATGCAATCAGATGAGTCTGCATCACTAAAGAAAGAAAGAAAAGTACTCTACTCTTTTTCATCAATTTAGTTCATTTGTTTTCATCATCACCTGAGTAACATGACACTACACTATACTTCGGCCTGCACTCCCCACGCTGGCCAGTCGGGTTAGAGAGGCCTGATGTTCGTATATTTTCTTTTATGACATCGACGGGAAGAGTGGCAGTAGTTGCTACTACGGTGCATTTGTTTTGTTCTACTTACTCCAGTAAGTGCGGGCGGCGCAGGACCGATCGTTATGGAAATCCTTGGAGGAGGTCTTTGTCCAACAGTGGCGTCATTTGGCTAAAACGATTGCTTACCAGAGAATGCTGCGAATGGTGATGGCCGCGCCGCCTCTGCGCTGTGTGCTGATTGCTGATGCAGTCAGCAAAGTCTGCAGGAGGCGGCTGTGCGTCCAACGTCACCACGCTTGTTGACGGCCGCCTGTTGAGCGCCGTCATCATTTCTAAGTCCTCTATCTTCTCTTTTGAATCTTTAGTTTTCGTCATGCCTGTAAAAAATGAAGATATTTTGCTTACTCATATTATGTTAGACCCTTTTAGTCTTAGCTACCGGTCGTTGTGGAAATCCTTGGCGGAGACCTTTGTCCAGCAGTGGACGTCATTTGGCTGAAACGAACGAACTCTTAACTACGCAATTCTACTATACCAGACTATTGTAATCTCTAAGCGATTATCGCAATACAAATTCATAGAGGTTAGTACACAGGCACGCCTCGCCATTTTGTTCATTGGTCACCGACACGGTCGGGTATCGAAGATTTGCGTAAGCCTTGTGTACGAAGGACATTAGTTGATAAGTAAAAAAGCCTGCAATGATTTTAAATATTTTTCGAATTTGTTTAATTGATAAGATTCGGAATGTTTGTATCAATACAATCTCTATTATCTGACCGTGACATGACTGCTATCTTTGAAGTAAAATAGAGTCGTTTTGCGGATTTGGTTTGCAATTTATTTGAAGATTTAAATGTAAATATTAGAGACTTTGATGTTCAGTCTTTTAGAGAATTCTTGGAGGATGTGTGTGACGTACCTACACAGACAGAAAAGAGTTGAAAAAACAAAGTTATGAAAATTTTTCAGAGATTAGGCGTACGACTTCCTCGGATTTTGATCGTATTAGAGGTTCAAAGAAACTATACCCACTTGATAATACTCTTCTGTATGAACATCTACTTACCTATTCATAAACCTGACTTTTCGATTAAAATAAAAGAATACAAAGCTTAAGGAAAATGTGTAGGACACGTACTAGTTAGCCATTACCAAAATAAATGTTTAAACATTTGTTTTCTAAACCAGTTTTACTTGGGGTATATAGTGAACGACCTGGCTTCTCATACCTACAGGTAAGTATGTATAGTCTTTGCCTACAGATTTTGACAATCTTGCAAATTAAAAATATCGTTTTACACTCTTCGTAAAATCGTATCATAAAAACCGTTCCTTACTTAAGTCATTGAAATGCAGACAGAAACCTGCACTAATATTATAAAGTTGAAGAGTTTGTTTGTTTGAACGCGCTCACGCGGAAAAATTATAAAACTATTTTAACGCGCCTAGGTACCTCTGGCTACCTACACGAAGCTGCGGGTACAGCTAGTGTAATTAATAAGATGATTAGATAGACCATACATTGCCTTTCATAGCAAATCAGTAAATATTTTAGCTAAATCAGAGATGTCTTCAATCAATGATAAAATATGTTACCCATCTAAAGACATAATGATCTTAAATAATTAATGCACGAGTAACTACGTAAGTTATTAATTGTGGACTTTTCTCAGAACCTACAATCGATTCAGATCCAAGTTCTCATTGAATTATTTTAAACAATGAGGTTTTCTTTATCAAATATTGACGATCGAATCGCGCAAAGTTGACTTCATATTTATTCTATGATGTTCTATAACGAGAATACGTATAGGTACCTATATCTTATCCTATTTATACTTGAATTTTTTTATTTGTTTGTTGATTTAGTGATGATAATGTAACATGACCGACGACTTTCAAAATGTTTGTGCACTATGTGTAATTGTGTATTGATATCAAAACCTGTATTTTTATACATAACAAGGCAGATATTTGACTGCAATCGCACCTGGTGTTAAGTGAGATGCAGTAGTATTGACCATTTAAGAAAATATTTGGGAGTTACTATGTGCTCTAAAATTCACATTTGAAAAACTACATAAATGCATTATCATTTCAAAACTGCAATTAAAGCAAACAGACTCATATTACATGTTGAAACTTCTATTGCATGACATTATACATTTATGTCACTGCTATCTTGAAATAAATAAATAAATATCTACATGCTTTACATATTAGATTGATGCAGTCATAAAGCAATGCTATTCACTGTAAATACTGATAACACTCTATGTGAACTCCAGACTACATGCTGGTAGCCAAGTCTTTATAGATAAGATATATCTTAACAGAGACCACACTCTATTCAGAGTTAAAATCCTCAAGTTGATCTCTAGCAAGATAAAATTAACAATATTAGTATAAAGTTTAAAGAATCCTACACTAGTTTAAATAAACAGTAGTTGATGTATTTCCTTGTTATTACGTCTCATACAGAGTAACTTAAACTTGAAACACATCAGCGTCAATGTTAGAACTGTATGAAAGCAAGCCTTTGATACCAAGTCATAAAAGTAATAAAAATTACTGCTGATTACAATACATATACTACACACACACGACCCAACAAAAAACGTGATAACATACTCTTTTAATATTTACTAATAAAAATTGTATTTTGAATTATTTGTCCTCATTAAAATTTCCATGTTTATCAACTGTTATTTTTCTTATAATTATTCTTGCTTGAGGATCAATATGGGTGTGTTTCTAATTTGTAATCACAATTTCACACCAATTATTTAGCCCCATATTATACCTACAGAGCTTAAAGGTACTCTTGACAACTATATTTGCAGATAAATGTAATATTAGTTACTTAAAAATGTATGAATATGGTAATATCTATCACATAAAATATTCTGAACTTTGGGAATAAATTAACATAAAACATCACACAAAAGTTTGAGCCTTTTAGTATTCATACTTTGTTACACAATAAGCACTGTTGGCCATTCAATGACTATGTGTACTATAGATATGTGACCTTCAATTTATAAGAAATCATTATTGAAAATATCAAATTTGAAAGAAGGTAATGTAACAATATTGTAATTGTAACCATGCAGAAATAGTTTAGGATAATGAGTTAGATAGTACAGAATAACTTTAAAATAATGTTTGAAGATGTTAATAATAAAATTTTCACATCAACAACTGAAGTTGCTTCCATAGCCACATATTATTGTATCACTGGAATTTGAAGTACCAATATGATGATTTTGTTAATATTTGTTTAAAATTATCAATATATACATGCAAGGGCACTACATTGTAGCTGTTTCAATAAGGCATTCACTGGTGATTTTATAGATTTAATATGAACAACAAAGTTATATTGGTTTTATCTTTTTTGTAGGACCTTGCAATCAAAACAAGGTGAATATACTAGCTGCCAATAACAGCCGATGATAGCAAATATATAATCCTAGCAAATTCAAAGATTAATAACAAACAACAAAATGTATCACCTGTATAAATAGATTTTTCAAAAGTGGAATATCATTTAAAATAATTGAATGTTTCATTTAATACTTTCATTATGGTACAGATTACATTTAAAAAGTAAGTATTGAATAGTAACATTTATTGTTCCATTGCACGAATTTATTCTACCATGTTCCATAAAATTAAAATATTTATGATTTAAGTTAGACCGAGCTCAGTTATAAGTACTTACTGATAATAATTTTGTTGACATACATGCAATAGGGTTCAATTATTTGTATTATCTGGAGCCCAAGTAAAGGTCAAAATCAATCAAATAAATGAACAAGTCATCATTCGTAATGATCATAAAGGACCTACATATTGATGGTATGTGTTACTAGACAAGTTTATTTGGATGAAGGATAGTAGCCATCTGTCTATCAGCACAAACAGTAACTATTCCAGACACATGATGGTTCATTCAACCTGCACCAGGTGTGACCTCAGTTAAGCAAACTCACATAACGATAACAGAAGGGGACAAACCAACTCAATGAGGTAGGCAACAATTAACAACAAAGTAATAAAAAAATATACTTACTCATCATCATATTTGTCGAACTAATTCCTAAATAGTCCAAAAATCTGTCAGTTCCAAACACAAATACCGCTCCAAACAAAAAGCCGGCGGCGATTGGCACAAATGCAAACTGTCCTTTATCACCATATAGGGGAGATCTTTCACACATTTCTATCGCTGGCTTCAAGAGAGACCAATATGATGCCGCTGTCATTACTCCGGCAGCAAAACCAAGTGATACATCCAGTAACTTCCTCTGTAAAAGAAAGCAATAACAATGGAATCAATATCACTCGTAGTTGTTACTGAGGACCAGTAATTATCAAGCACAGCATACGCACATGTTTGCCTCGTATGAAGAATACGCAGCCGGCTCCAGCGGCAGTAAGTCCCCACGTCAATAAGGTCCCAAGAAGGGCCTGTGTTACCGCACCGTATCCCGATATCATTTTGTCACTTACTGCTAACTACGTATTAAGTAAATAATTAAATTTTTAAGTACTTTTTATGGAGCATTATTCAACACATGTTGACGCGAAATAAGTCACAGTTTATGCATTCCTTTTTATATATCGCACATGTTTATCTGCTTTGCTGTGTGGCCTTGCTAAGTTGTCGTCAATCAAATGTCAAATTTGACGTTTACTCCGGCTGTCATAGCCACAGATGATGTGGAAACCAAAGATAATATAAATTATGACCACAGATAATTGAGAGAGAAATCGAGGTAAATAGTGGAGATGTCTTATGACAAATAGTATTTTGATTGAATTTGTGAGATAGGAGTAAGAGGAAATTGTATGCTTTCTTTTTTGCAAAATAACACGATCACTTTTATTATCCTATTACTATCATATTCAGACATGATAATATTTTTAGATAGTTCTTCAGTTATAGGGGTTTAGGTAACTCGTCTCTGCACTTGCCCAAATCAGTTAAACAAAAAAATACAGTTAAGTTATATACACGCTACGGTCCTGCCATGAAGCTACAGATAAAAATGAAGGCCAGACTCCCAATACCTACTTGAAGCACAATTTAAGTATCAGTATCTCGCTCTCTGTGGGCAGACTTGCTCTTTCTAAATAAACAAACAATATAAAATTGCTCAAATTCAATGAAACCAATGTAAAATCTTTATTTCTTGACATAGGTATCATTAAAAATGATAAGTGTATTACTGGTAAAACGTTTTAGGAAGAAATTACTGTAAAAAATGTGAAAAATGTTAACAATGATCCAATGTCGGAAATCAGGGTCCATATTGGCTCACCTAAAGTTATTTACCCGAAATTGTTCTTCCTAACGATTTTAAATCCGAATGATCACTCTTCCTAAAATTTTTCATCCTAAAGTTTTCATTCATACTATTTGTAGTGCTACTGGCGATGTTCATAACACTCATGTTTCCTAAAATTTTAATTAATAATATCATTAATGTAAATATATTTAAACTCCTACTGTTTTTTATCATAACACTTTTATCCCTAAACATAATTACCATAATATTTTCACTCATACCACAGAATAATAATAAGTACTACGTACAGAAGGTTTTCTTCGCGAAGGTAACTTAAGGTCACAGTTCTAACCTAACCTAAACCAATAATTTTATGAATAGGACCGATTCGTTTCTGGAACTTGACTGAATGACTGGAGCGGGACTCTGGCTTCGCTTGCTCGACTCGTGCGTTGTGGTCACAGCTCTAAACCTAACCTAAACCAATAATTATGAATAGGACCGATTCGTTTCTGGAACTTGACTAAATGACTGTGGCGGGATTCTGGCTTCGCTCGCTCGGCTCATGCGTTGTGGTCACAGTTCTAACCTAACCTAAACCAATAAATTATGAATAGGACGAATTCGTGTCTGGAACTTGACTGAATGACTGGGGCGGGACTCTGGATTCGCTCGCTCGGCTCGTGTGTTGTGGTCACAGTTCTAACCTAACCTAAACCAATAATTATGAATAGGACCGATTTGTTTCTGGAACTTGACTGAATGACTGGAGCGTCACTCTGGTTTCGCTTGCTCGGCTCGTGCGTTATGGTCGCAGTTCTGATTTAAGTTAAACCAATAAATTATGAATAGGACCAATTCGCTATATGTATACTTCCTCAAGTATACGTGCTAATGCCAACAAACTTGAACTTTAGACAAGTAATATTATCGTCAAAAAAGAAATCTAAACAAAAAAGATATTACTTTAAATAATAGTGTAAAAGATGGTTATGTTGAGAAAATATAGGAAAACAAATAAAAGTATATTAGATGTTTATTGATAATGACATTATGATGTTGGATGATTCGGAATTATGAACATTAGAGACAGAGTAGTTAGGAATTGTGATTGTTAGGATGAAAAATGTTAGGAAGAACATTTTCGGATTTCCAATTTTCGGAGTTGAAAATTTAGGTGAACTTTGGCGCACCCCGGAAATCACGAAATAAGTAAACACTTACGCGTGGAATCTTATGTCACTTCCAGGACAGCACGTAGGTACTACCGCAACCACGCACTACATAAGTGTAATTACTGGTAAAACGTTTTAGGAAGAAATTACTGTAAAAAATGTGAAAAATGTTTACAATGATCCAATGTCGGAAATCACGAAATAAACACTTACGCGTGGAATCTTATGTCACTTCCAGGACACCACGTACTACCGCAACCACGCACTACAAAATTTTGCACCAATTCTTGTGATAAAACAATGATTATTTCCTGTAAACAATCTCAAACGAAATTAACTGCTTATTAATAAACAAAATAGTAAACAACCGCCATGAGATGGGCCGGATTGGGCCGATGTTGCCACATGGTACCGATTACCCAGGAATTGGGATTGTAATTCCCTGATTCGCCAACACATTAAGCCTAAATGGCCGACAATTTTGTGATTTTTTATTTAACTAGGTAATCTTAGTTTCAAATATTAATTATTTATTTGTTTAACTTCTGATTTGGTTAGTGAATTGGCTATTTCGAAGAATTTACAAGGAGATTTAAATCAGAAGATAGCAATACTACAGTTCACACTAAAAAGAGAGGTAGGGCCGCAGAGAGCGAGATAGATATAAGTAGGTATTTGACTCAAGTTTTTGTTCCAAACTCTGCCCTCCATTTTTATCTGTAGCTTCATGGGTCCTGCTAGGTTTGAATCCCGTAAGTAGCGTACCTACATTCAACTTTATTTGAAAGAAAGAAAGAAGAAATGTTTATTCAGTATTTGAAGAATATTGTAGTTTTACTCTTTCTTACTATTACTATGGGCTTTGTCCAGCAGTGTATGTCATTCAGCTGAAACGAACGAACGATCTTATTACTATTAGATCTACTTAATATTAATTTGCAAAAAGGTACCTACTTACATCTTATGTAAATAAATAGGTAACTGATACCACACAGACCACACTGCTGCACTGATACTGCCACAACGAACACTATCGAAACTGCAACGTAAATTAATAGATAGTTACCTTGTTTCAATAGTGTTCGTTATCTTGCGGCATCAATCGTTTAATCTGGTCAAAAAAGGTAAAAAAAGAAAAAGACCCACGCGATCAGATCTTTTTTTCTAAAATGACTCGACCAGGACAGAACTCCTGTTTTTTTCGTAGCGACTTAAGTACCTAATATGGGACCACTTCGACATCGGTCTGATAAATAGGAGCTTTCAGACATTTCCTTCTTATAACTCCACTGTTAAGTAGGTATAGGTATACCTACTCGCATTTTTGTAGGGATTTCCCTGTAGAAATAACAAAACTAATAAAAAACTAGCCGTTTCACTCAGGCAGGACCATCGTACGCCGCTGCAGATCTCATGACTGCATATGCTGGTAGCTAATACACTAGCAACAGCAGGTAACTAAGTACCAACTACCTGTCAAGATACCTATTTATTGTTTACTAGCTGACCCGGCGAACTTTGTTCCGCCTTAATGGCAATAAATAAGGAGACTTTTTTTTTTAATTTCGAACGGGATAAAAAGTATCCTAGTTATGTCCTTCTCCTGGCTCTAAACTACCTCCCTGACAATTTTCAGCTAAATCGGTTCAGCCGTTCTTGAGTTATAAGTGGATTAACTAACACATTCTTTTATATATATAGATATATATAATATATATAGATTTGCGTACAAGATGCATTGATCCATTACTTATCGCCGGCCGCGGCCGCGGCCGCTTGTAGGATCTTTCAGACCTTATGAAAATGAGCCTCTCCCGTTATTGTTATTAACCCTTGTAATATACCTTCCTACTAAGTTTCTACTAATAGTACTACATAATTAAGCGCAAAACATTTAACAGTGAATAATAATAACAAAAGTGTTAAATGTTTCCTAACAGTTTTAAATGAGTCATCATACAACCAAGATAATAAAGGCCGTTATAATTAGCCGGTAATATAAAAAAACGCACGTGGTAGTCCTTAAACAAACCGCACTATCGTCTTAGACGAATCAGTCACGTCTTCAGACATTCGCGAACGACGCGTTAACTGCCGTGTTAAGCGCTTAAGCGTTAATTAAACACGTGGGAATTGGCCCTGTAAAGTGAGATTACAGTAAATACACCCATAAATATAAAGATAAACAAACTCGTATTGTGCTCGACTATAAAAGACGTACGAATCGGTTCTGTGAATCATTCAACACTGAAACTCTGCTAGGAAAGCTCTTATTAGTAGGCATCTTAGAAAAGGCCTGAAAAAATTAACAAACTTAATTTAGATGTTTTTACATTAGCCCTAAACTAAGCTTATCTTATGTCCTGCCTAGGAGTATTTTAAACGAATATAAACATAAACATATTAAATAGGTATACTTACTTACATAGAAAACACCCACACACATAAAAGCAAACATACCTAGTCCTTCAATAAAAAGTTACACCTAGGATGGACATTGGATTAAAATGTCATTTCCATACTAAGTAAATGAAAATTTAAGCCAGAGTTCAACTATGGGAGCCTACGGGTGACGAGCTATTGGACGTGGAGAGGGTCATTAATTATACACATATTTTCTACTTTGCCGAACATTTGCACGAGAACGGTTTGTCCAAAACATATGAATTTGGAAATTAATACAGATTAAATGCCCTTCAACCGTCAGGAAGACCACTTTTCGATAGGGTAAGTCCTTTACGCAGTATACCTAACCGAAAAACCTAAAAAGCGCCCCTTTCGGGGGCCCCCATCACTTAAGCACAACTGCGTCGAAGTCGAAAACCTAGGAGAGTCTTAATGGGCAACCAATGAAGCCATTAAAGCAATAAAATCTTTTGTAGGAATTATTTCCGATTTAAAATCTAATTCTACTGGCCTACATATATGGTATAACTAACTTTTATTAGTAAGGGGGAGTATTATTATAGTGCGAGGTCGCGCGGATCGAACCCGAGACCTCCGGCATAGTACTACTTAGTCCGGTACATGAACCTATATCAAACGACCGTTACAAAAACTCCATTTGAAAATACCTAGTTAACCATAATCAAGCGTGCAGTCAACATTTCCTATTTAACAACTGTTTTCGGTTGTCGATATTAAAGTAATTAGCCCAATTTAGGTAGTTCATTAATACCGTAAAATTACTGCCGTAAAATA